CCCCCACCTGAAGCTGCTGGGCAGGAAGGACTGAGTGGCAGACCCTGCAGGGCAGGTGAGGTGACCTGCAGGTCCCACCCCACCTCCTGGGCCCGGACCCTTCCTGGGCCCTGCCACTTTCTCCCCTTTCCCCCTGCCCCCCCCACTTTTTTTTTTTTTGGCTGCACAGCATGTGGGATCTTAGTTCCCCGACCAGGGATCAAAACCGTGCCCCCTGCAGTGGAAATGCAGAGTCTTAACCACTGGACACCCAGGGAAGTCCCCCTCTCCCCTTTCTCTAAAGGATGGTTCTCGGTGGCACCCTGAACGTGAAGTAACAGTCAGCTGCCCATGGCCTTTTAGACAAACTTCTCTTCTGTTCCGCTGGAGGACTTCTTCCTGGGGAGGGGAATCGGAGCAGCAGAAACAGGAAAGGCCACTGAGGGGGGCGCAGGCAGCGGGGCGCGGTGGGGCAGCGGACATGTGAAACGGAGTCAGGGAGAGGGCAGGACGCCACCACGGCCGGCCCCCACCCCGGGGCGTGGTGTCGGCCACCTCCGTCCACGCCACAGGGAGTCACCCCTTCCCACTGGCAGCCTCATCCTGACCTCCTTCCGAACTGCCCTGCCACACGGAGGAGGCACGCGGCCATGGGTGCTGTAAAAGGAGGGCCCGTCCCCAAGGATGTAACATTACAGACGTGTCCTTCAGTTTGGGGCACCAGAGGGCCAAGGTGCTACCCAGGGGAGTAACCCTGCCACACATGCCCCATCTGCCTTGATGGGGTTCTGCTGTTACCAGCACAACCTCTATTCCTGCAAAGGGGAACAAGCTTCTAGAAAGGAGCTCAAATCATCCGACTTCTTGGGATTGGGCTCCTTTGCTTGGGAAGCCCTACCAATCCTTCCCCTGTCGTCCCGGGAACATTCTGTTCTCGCCTCAGTCCTCGGACCACGCAATATCACTGCAGGCAGAATTTTCCTAGCAACCACAGAATCCAAGGTTACATCATACCCTGCACGGCAGCTGAGCTGGTTACCTAACAGATGCCGGCTTTTCCCGAGTGCCGCCTCTCCAGCTCGCTGAGCAGGAGGGGGCTGGAGAGAGACCACGAAAGGGGACTTGTGAGCAAAAGATGCAATGAACAGGGACAGCCCACTCGCTTCTTTCCTTGCCTGTCTCGTGGGCTTTCTCGAAGGGACCTTGGGCCTCTGTGCTGAGCTGCAGGCACAAAAATAGCACCAGCTGCCCCAGGAAGGAAGAGTGAGTCTGCAGAGGGAATGGCCACTGGCTCCTTGGAGGAGCCCAGACTCAGGGGGTGCCCAGTGTGTGTAGCTGGGCTACATACACCCTGAGAGGTGGAGAAAAAAGTCACCTCCTCAAGGTCATGCAGGGACTCCAATAACTATTTAGCAAGACACCTGAGGCAGTGCTGCAATACCAGCTGGTGGCCCCATCCCTGGCTGGGGTGGGGAAGGCTAGGAATCTGCAGCTCCCATTTATAGAGCCTCCCACTCTGCTGCTAGCTGGGTGCGAAAAGGGCCCACAGAGCTGCTGCCCATCCATACTCTGTTCTGTTCCTAAAGGACTTGCTGTTTTCCAGGCCTCACCACCAGGGACCTGCTTTCCTTTAGGGCCCAAGAGGGGGCAGGCTCTTCCAGAGCATTGTCTGACCTGTCCTTATCACTGGTTGGCCTGGTACTCATCATTCAACAAGGGCCTGACCTGAGCCCCACAGGCCTCTAGGCAAGGATGCTGCCCTTCCCTTTCCTCTTTTCCACGGAACTTGGGCCAGTTACCTAACAGGGAGGGTGAGCTGCTTAGTTAGTTATTAAGATTCAAGCTCTCAGAGCTTGAGAGCCAGGAGGGGTCTCCAAGGTTAAGCCTCATGGTCCCTCCTTCTCCCTTAAAGGCTAGGATGTGGGGGCTCCCTCAGATGCTCTCACTGTCCTGGAAACACAGGGCTCACAACAGGAAGATGCTACAAGGAAGCCAGCAAGCCGAGCCCACTGCCTCTGCGCCATCAGCTAGGTTTACTATCCCGTTTTACCGACAAGGCTGGTCCACCCCACTGGTACCTCTGCTGACGCTCTCTGGACTTGGGTTCAGAGTTTGTCCCTTCTGTGTGTCCTTTCCCACCAGATGCCGTGAGCACAGGAGGGGAGAAGATGATCAGTCTCTCCTGTTCCACACTCTCTGACCCATTAAAAGATAAAGAAAGCCAAAACCAGATGAAGACATCGCAAGGAAAGAGAACTACAGACCAGTCTCTCTTATGAATATAGATATTCATAATACCTATGATATGCAAAAATACTAGCAAACGGAATACATCAACATATAAAAAGGATTATTTACTCTGACCAAGTGACATTTATCCCAGGAATGCAAGGTTGGTTTAATATCCAAAAATCAATTAATGTAATATATCCTATCGATAGAAAAAAAGGACAAAAACCATATAATCATCTGAATAGACATAGAAAACACATCTGGCAAAATTCAATACCCCTTCATGATAAAAACACCCAACACACTAGGAATAAAAGGGAACTTCCTCAATCTGATAAAGGGCATTTACTGAAAACCCACAGTTATTATCATACTTAATGGTGAAAGATTGAAAGCTCTCCCCCTTCAAGATTAGGAACAAGAAAACAATGTCCACTCTCACCATTTCTATTCAATACTGTGTTGAAGGTTCTATCCAGGGCAATTTGGCAAGAAAAAGAAATAAAAGGCATCCAAATTGGAAAGAAGTATTGATAAAACTATATTTGTAGATGACATGGATCTTACGTATAGAAAATCCTAAGGAAGCCACTGAAAGACCATTAGAACTAATAAACAAGTTTAAGTTGCAGGATATAAGGTCAATGTACAAAAATCGTTTGTATTTCTATAAACTAGAAGTGAATAATCTGAAAATGAAATTAAGAAAACAATTTCATTTACAGTAGCAGCAAAAATAATAAAATACTTAGGAATAAATTTAACAAATGAAGTATGAAATTTGTACTCTAAAAAGAACAAAACATCAATGTCTAAAACATCGCTGAACGAAATTCAACACAATTTCTACCAAATCCCCGCTGCCTTTCTTGCAGAAATTGACAACCTGCTCCTAAAATTCATATGGCAACGCAAAGGGTCCAGAATAGCCAAAACAATCTTGAGAAAAAAGAACAAGGTTGGACCCACACTTCTGAATTTCAAAACTTACTACAAAGCTACAGTAAACAAGTTTGGGTGGAATTGGCATAGATCAATGGAATAGAATTGAGAAGCTGGAAATAAACCTTCCCATTTATGGTCAATTAAGTTTTGACAAAGATGCTGAGGGTTCAATGGGAAAGAACTGTACAAATGGTGCTGGGACAACTAGATATACTCACATGTAAAAGATGAAGTTGAACCCTTACCTTGCACCATATACAAAAATTAACTCAAAATGGAGGAATGACCTAAATATAAGAGCTGAAGTTATGAAAGTCTTAGAAGAAAACACAGGAGTAAATCTTCATAGTCTTGGGTTAGGAAATGGTTTCTTAGAGATGACACTCAAAGCACCATCAACAAAAGAAAAAAATAAATAAATTGGGCTTTATCAAAGTTAAAAGCCTTTTTTTCTTTTTTCTTTTTTTCCCCACAATTTGGCCACGCCGCATGTGGGATCTTAGTTCCCCGACCAGGGATCAAACCTGCACCCCCTTCATTGGAAGCATGGAGTCTTAACCACTGGACCGCGAGGGAAGCCCCCAAAGTTAAAAGCTTTTATGCTTCAAAAAGCACTATCAAAAAAATTGAAAAGACAACCTACAGAATGGGAGAAAATATCTGCAAATCATATATCTGGTAAGGGACTCCTATCTAGAATATATAAATAACACAACTCAATAATAATAAAAAGTCAAACAACTCAATTTTTTAAATGGGCAAAGAACTCAAATAGACATTTCTCCAGAAAAGATATATGAATGGTCAACAAGGGCATGAAAAGACGCTCAACATCATCAGTCATTATGGAAATGTAAATCAAAACCACAATGAGACACCACTTCATACCTAATGGACAGCTGGAATCAAAAAGACAGACAATAACAAGCATTAGCAAGGATGTGGAGAAATTTGAACCCTCAGACTTTGCTGGTGGAATGTCAAATGGTGCGGCCCCAAGCCTGCTCCACCTGCAGCCTTCCCCATCTCAGCCGATGGCACCTCCATCCCCTGGTTGCTCAGGTCAAAAACCCTGGGGTCTTCCCGATTCCCTCTCTCACACACACACTCCACATATAACACATCAACAAATCCTG